GAGTCGCCTACAGGAGCTCGATGCGTCTGGTAAGTTATCGCTGACTAAGCTGGACTCGTTCTGGACGGGCAGGGCTCGGTCGGTAACAAGGGGGCACTGCCACTGCCTAGTGCATGGCGTGAGCTGCAAGTTTGAGGCAGGGGAGATCAGTGTAGCAGGTACGCCGTGCTGGGATTTCGCACCGCTCGGCACGCGCGGCGGCGCCGAGGGTAAGACGAAACAGCTGTTCATCGCCTGGGTTGCTTTGATGCGTCTAGTCATGCCCATGTTCATCATTCACGAGAACAGCCACCTCTTTGACGTCTCGATCCTGGAACATGCGTTCGGGTATGCCTACGTGGTCATGACTGCGATCGTTTGTCCAACAAACCTTGGTTGGCCAGTCCGTCGGAAACGAAGGTGGTCAATATTGCTACATCGGAGGACAGTGACAGCACATTTTTCGTCACTCGATAATGTGATCCAATTGTTTCACCAGTCGATGCGGTGCACGTGGCGGGTATTCCTAGTCGCCTCCAGCGACGAGTGCAAGCGAGAGTTATTGTGGGCAGCATCTCGCGAGACAACCTCCTGGGATGGTGAACGGCCTACCGTCGATCACATTTTTCAGCCTGGCGACCATCGCCGCGCCCTCAACACTGGGGAGGCTGCGTTCTTACATCGGTACGAGACATTATTTGCCGGGAACCTTGTGTACAACCTCACGCAGGACCCAATCTCACACTTTCCACACTTTCCGTCTTTCCGTTAAAGCGTGTGCGTGTGCGCGTGCGTCATGGTGTCATGGCGTTTTAGGTGTGGTCTCATGCGTCTTATGCTTGCGTGCATGCAATCGCGTGCGTCGTGCGTCCGAATGTATGTGTGACGTGTGTGACGTCGGGGAAGCGGTGCATGCCATATCGCGTTGTCGGCGATGTCAAATGTTGAGGCTTGCATATTGCGGTTGCGCGTGCATGGGATCTGCGGATATATATATATATATAGATATATGTATATATGTATATATATATATATACAATGCGCACAGTTGTTAGGCACGACCTATGCGCTCCTCCCTGCACCCCTGCGCCCCATGCACCCGGCGCGCCCAGCGTGCCTGGCTGGCCGGGCTGGGTCCATCGCCCGACGCGTTCACTCGACACAGTGTGCTCACTTCTCGCCATCTACCCATCTACTCTTCTACTCTTCTACTCATCCGTGCCCCGTTCCCATATCCTTATATTTTTCCAATTGCCGATCTCGGACTCTCGTTGCTGCCGTCATCGCCTTAGCCCCTTAGCCGCGACACATCACGACACATCGACTCTACTCTCGAGCCCCCCTCGACCCCTCCACCCTATCCACCGCCCCTCCACTGACCCCTCCATCCGCCATCCCTCCATGCTCCCGTGCACCGCGCGCCCTGCCTGGCCGATGCTGCCGACGCTCCTCTCCCCCCTCTCCCCCTCTCCCCCCCCCCCTTCGCCTCCTGAGCTGACTCGCCGTCCCGTCCTTGCCTCCTTGCCTCCTTGCCTGCCTTGCCCCTTCTTGCCTCCTCCTACTCCTTCCTCGGCGCCCTCCGACACCCCGACACGCCGAGCCTCCGAGCCCCCCCCCCGCCCCGCAGTCGTCGCATCGTCGCATCCTACTCTCCCACTCCGCCGCTCCGCCAGTCTTCCCGCTGCCCATGCCCCCATGCCACCATGCCATGCCACGCCGACTCGCTGATTGCCACCGCCCCGCGAGGACCCTGACGAGAAGCCGGCGAAGTCCACTCCGGAGATCTTGCAAGCGATCACCTGCCATTGCATGCAGTGGGTGAAGGAGAGGGAAAGGTGGATTACCCCGATGGAACTCATGGTAGCCCAGGGGTTCCCAGTTTTGGATCAGACAGACGTGGTATTTAACTCGTTAGAAGAATCTCGCATGCATTTGAACGTCTGCAGCTTCCACCGCAATAATAATGCAGATAGGTCTCGCTCAGCCCTTGTGAAGCAATCTGGGAACACAATGCACGTTCACGTCGTTGGCTGTATAATCGCTGTGTGTCTAGGATGGGCCGATACTGTTATGACTAATTCTTTTTTTGCGCGTTGACGCATTGACCACGGATGACCATGGTCCAGATGGCCCCGATGGCCCGATGGCCCGATGGCCCGATGGCCGATGGCCCCTAGCGCCCCTAGCCCCGAAACCACGAAGCCCCCTAGCAATCCGCGCAGCCCTCCGCCTCCGCGAGCCGCCCTGGCAACCTGTCAACGTGTCAACCTGTCAACCGCCTGGTCCGACCCTCCCGCAATCCGATCCGCAATCCTCGCAATCCCGCAACCCCCGCAATGATATTGCAGAACAGCCCAGCCCCAACCTCGGGCCAGGTCCCTCCACGTGAGTACGTGAGTCTCACGTACTCACGTGGAGTACGTGAGAGCGTGAGAGAGCGAGAGAGTACGTGAGTCTCACGTACTCTCTCGCTCTCTCACTCCTCCCATTCGGCCCATTCCTCCCTACGCCTACCGCCCCTACCTCCCTACCCCCCCACCTGCCCACCTGCCCTGCCCCTGGGCCCCGGCCCCTGGGCCCCTGGCCCTACCGAGCCAAGGCAGCTTGACAGGTTGCGCGCGTTCAGGGCGGGTCGCGTCCGTTTGCGGCTGGCTTTCGCGCTTTCGCCTCGTCAGGGCGCGCGTGGCACGCGGCCGCGCGCGCGGGGCGCAGGAAGCGCAGGAAGGGGGTGGGGCGGGGGTGGCGGTAGGGACGTGAGAACATGATACCATGTGCCATGATGAGCATGAGCATATGAGCATGACGGTTCATGATGGGATAATTGGGATAACGTGATAACGAGGGCCGCATGGCCAAGGGCTATTGACATAATACCAACTGACCAACTGACCAACTGGGGCTGTGGCTGCCATGGCTATGGTGCTATGGTCGCCCTGGGCGCCCTGGTCACACGGTCACGCGGGGCCCATGGGGGCCCATGGGCCCATGGGGCTGCGTGGGCTGCGTGCCATGTTTAGTTTTTTTTTGTCTTTTCAGAGTCTGCGCACGCAGGCAGGCGGCGCGCGCGCATCGCGCGCCTCGGGCTCTGGCTATGGGGCTATGGCGCTATGGCCATCGGGCCCGATCCTTCTGCAGACGACAGGCGAGAGGACGAGAGGACCTCCGAGAGGACCGAGAGGACGAGAGGACGAGAGGACGAGAGGGACGTCACAGAGCTGCAGAGGCGCCGCCCAGCCGCCCGGCCTTGGCCACTGTCGCCGCTGACTTGCCGAAGCTCTGCGCCATCGCCGTGTCGAGGGCAATCTTCGCACGGCGCCTTGGGTTGGCGATGTGGGATGTGGTTCGGATGTCGCAATCACAAAATCACAACACTCAATGTCTACATGTCTACATGTCTATATTGTCTATACCAGTGTATCAGTATACCAGCATATCAGCATTATGCTACCAATATTAATAGCATACCAACAACAATATACCATGCGGTGAATGCGCCCATGTGCCCATGTGCCCATGTGCCCGCCCCACCGTCCCATGCCACCCACCCATGCCATTCTATATTGCTGCTGGCTACCGCCGACCCGCCGACCATCGCACCATCGCGCTGCAGTTTGCAGGCGACATTTTGGGTGAGACGTGAGACGGTGAGACGCTCCATGCGTGACCAGGTCGAACACGGCCACGTGCATCAACCTCGCGAACCATGGCCCCTCAGCATCAACAACATCTCAGCATCTCAGCTCAGCATGACAACATGACTGCCGCGTGGCCGCAGGGCAAAGTGCGTCTTCGCCCTAGCATGGCATGTCTGCCCCCTTCCCTGGCCCCCCCTTCCACCCTTCCATCCTTCCCCCCCCTTCCCCCCCGCCCCCAAGAGCCCAAGAGCCCCCGCGCCCCCGCCCCTCCGACCCTCCGACCATCCGAACCCTCCGACCCATTGCCCCGGAACGGCCTGGCTGTCAGGCTGTCAGGCTGTCAGGCCGTGGGGTCTGGGGGTTTGGGGGGGGGGGGGCGGGGGGGCGGGGGGAGGTGAAGGGGTGAAGGTGTGAAGGTGGCGGCCTGGATCGGCTGTCTGGGCGGTTTGCAGAGACTCACAAGTAATTGCGCGGTTGCCCCGAGCTTCCGAGCTTCTGATTCTCCCGCGGCCCCGCCCTCCCGTCCTCTTCATCTCTTCATCTCTTCATCCTCCTCATCTCCTTATCCTCCTCTCCTCCTCCTCTCCTCCCTCCTCTCCTCAGCCGTCCTCAGCGTCCTCAGCCTCTGTTCCTCTTTCCCTCTTTCCTCTTTCCTCTCCGAGTCGGATTATTCCTGTGGCTGGCTCGGTCGGGTTCTGGGGTTCCGCTCGCGCAAGGCCGAGGCGTGCTCGGGCGAGCTCGGGAGCTCGGGCTTCCACGACAGCCGCTGCGATTCAAGCTCGAGCAGCTCGAGCAGGTAGTTGCTCATTCGTTAGAATCACCCTCGGCTTTGCGCGGCCGTGTGCCCGTGCGCCCCAGCCTTCAGTGTTCGGCGCCAGCATCGTCGGCGGCCGTCGTCACGGCCATGTCCAAGTCCATGGCCGCTTCGTCCGGTGATCAGATCCCACTGCTCGACGATCTCGATGAGCCGATGGACGTGGACGCGGATGACCCCTCTCAAGGGCTTGCGCCCGATCAGTTGGCGCTCTTACACGATTCGAGAGTGACGAGCATCGACGTGCGCCTTCCGAATATTCATGGCGCCCGACGCCTGGATTTCTGCAAGAAGACCTTTGGGGTTCCATGCGCGTTAAATCCAAGCGCGTCCGTGCTGCGGGCCCTGGGGCCCTCGGGGGGGCCCCGACTCCAACCCGCGCCCCCGCGCCCCAGCCAGACAGCCAGACCCAACCAGTGTGGGATCGGTGAACCGCAAATGCTGTGAGTCACGGGGTCACGGGCGAGGCGGGATGGGACCCGCCTCGCCGTTCCCCTTGATGCGCTGGGTTTGCCGACTCACCGTTCTTCATCTCTTCATCCGCTCCTTTCCTCCGCCGCCGCGCCTGCGAGGTTCCCATGATGCTGAGCAGCACAATCCCGTGGTTTGACAAGGCCACCAAGAAGCCGAATTTCGTGCGGCACGACTTGAACGACAGAGAACAGCAGAAGACATTGGAGCGCCACGTGAAAACCATCATGGACTACGGCCTGGTCGAGGACATGCGCGGGGTGCCATTTGCACAATTGTCGGAGGGCGACCGGCCCCCGTACCGCCTCTTCGCCCATGCCCACCTGGCGACTGCATTCTACATCGCCTTCCAGAGGAACCCTCGGAACAGCAACGTCCTCGCCACATTCAAAAAGGGTCTCGCCCGCGTCGTGGTCTTCAAACACTCCACCCCCCCCCGACATCGTCACGTGGATTCGTGATTTCGGCAACTTTGATTTCGGTCAGACATCAAGCCAGTCGTTCATTGAAATCTTGGACTGGGCCGCCAAAGTCATGGCGGGGTGGCACGCGTACGCGCACGACAACGGCATCCAGGCTCGGGAGGGCGATGGGTCCACAAGCAGCCAGTACCGCATCAAGTGCTGGACGTACGTCAAGGATCATTTCAAGGAGCTGGTCTTGCGCGGGACCATTCCCAACCAGACCGCGCTCGAGCTCTATAACTTCATCAACAAAGTAATTCGTCCACACCCGGGGGGCAAACTTGGCATCTACGATTCGATCAGGAAGTGGGCGAACAAGAATGCAGTGTTCGGGGACGGCCAGCTCAAGAACGAGACGCTCTTGTCCAGCATGAAGGTCATGCTGGGCGCGCTCCAGGACCTGACCAACGAGTCCAAGTTCCACGGTGTCAGCGTCTCGTTCACCAAGAATGAGGTCAAGCTCCTCGTACTTGAGGCTTTCAAATTCATGGCCCCTCGGGCTCTGACTCGAACCGCTCACCTCATCCTCCGCCTCCTCGCCCCCCCCCCCTCGAGCTTTCGAGGCGGTGGGGCGGGGTTGATGGGGGTCTAGAGGGTTCTAATGGCGCCGAAGACGGGGGAGGAGGATGAGGAGATCATGAGGTCATGAGGGGCATGACTATGAGAAAATGTGGATAGATATGGGGAGGATGGGGGGAGGGCAGGATGACAGGAGGACAGGAGGGGGCAAGGAGGAGAGGAGGAGAGGGGGATATGAGGATATGAGGATATGAGGATATGAGGAGGAGGCCGCAGGCTGGGTGAGTCACCCGCCGCCGCGAGGTGCCCACAACCAGCATTGATGAGATGCGAGATGCTGCTGCCGGGCGGGCTGGCGAGGACGATCGGGCAGTCGTCGACTTGGGAGGTGGCGTCGACGGTGCTCACGCTCAGCAGCTCAATGCCGAGTACACGAACGTGGCCTGGTACTTGACGACGCCTGCTGTCACCAACAACGCGATGAAGCTGCTCTTCCTCGACGTCAGCGCTGGGAAGGTGTACAAGGAGGCTGGCAAGAAGATTGAGAAGTTACAGTCGCTTGCAGGCGCTGTTGCCCATAAGCAGGAGACTGCGGCCATTGCCGTGCAGAAGCAGCACGCTCGACCAGCGCCCGCGGACTCGCCGCCGCCTTCGAAGCGCCGTCGCCTGGGCAACAAGACTCCAGACCAGGCCCAGGAGCGATTGGCCAGGCGCCTCGCTGAACGCCGGGCTGCCACGGCCTCTGACATCGCCGACGGGCCCGCGCCTCAGGGGGAGAAGGATGACAGCCAGAAGTCGGCGTCGACTGCTACGCCCGCCGGCGCAGCCAAGCCCAAGAGGAAGAGCTTGCCCAAGTCGCCGAAGGCCGTCCACATCAAGGACATCGAGACGGCCCAGATGTTGACATCGGCCAAGGAGAAGTCGATGCCCATCACCTGGATAGAGTGCATGTGGACTGGGATGTCGGCAGCAGTGGCCGACGCGCTCGGGTCCCGAGCGTTCACCTCCGCAGATGAGCGGAATTCCTCAGCTACGACGGCGCGAGTCGACGAGGCTCGCGGCGTGGGGTGTAAACGCCCCTGGATTTGCATGCCCACTCTTTATTCATCATCATCTCATTATCTCCCCCCTCCTCTTTCCCCCCTTCCCCCCCCCTCTCCTTCCCCCTGCGCCCATGCGCCACTCCGCCAAATCGTGTCGGTATCCTCGTTCTTTCCTCCTCCTGCCCTTCGTCCCGTCCCTTATTATAATTATTTTTGTTATTATTAGCGTCATGCTTCCCACTTCCCCCCCCTTCCCCCGTCCCCCCCCCCTCGCCCCCGCTCCTGTGCCGCTGCCAGCTCGTCGCGCCTCTACGCGCACTTACCTCTCTACCTCCTCTCCGCCTCTCCGCCTTCCCCCCATCATCCCTCCCCCCTCTCTCCAGTTCTCCAGCTGGCTCTCAGGCCCCCAGGCCCGCTTGCTCCCATCTTGTCTGCTTACTAGGCGTACTAGCTCACTAGCTCTCTCGAGCATCGCGTCATCCACCCTATCCACCCTATCCCATCCGCCCTGCAGGCAAAGCTCATGTACATCCGCCTCGCCTTCCAGTTCGCCTTCAGCGGCGCGGCCGGCCAGGCTGGCCAGGTGCTGCGGGCGCGGGGCGGCGGGGCGGGGCGGCGATGGTCGTGGTGGTCTGGTCGGCGTGGTCGGCATGTTCGGCATGTTCGGCTGAGAGTTTTGGCCCCCCCCCCACCCCCCCCCCCCCCCCCCCCCCCCCCCCCCCCCCCCCCCCCCCCCGTCCCCCCGCCCCCCGCCCCAACCCCCCAACCCCCCCTCGCTCCACGACGTGCCGACGCGCCCTCGGGCCCCCTCCTGGCCGCCGGGCCCTGGGCCCGAAGGCCCGGGCGGGTCGGGCGGGTCAGGCGGGCAGCGTGGGGCCGCGGGGCCGCGGGGCCCTAGGCCCTTCATCCAGCGGGCGGCGGAAGGCCAGGAAACGGTTTGGGGTTTGGGGGTTGAAGGGGCGAAGGGGGCGGCAGAGGAAGAGCATGGAAGCGTGGGCGGGTGGGGTGATGGGGTGACATGTAGACGCGTAAGAATATAAGATGTCGATTGGGCGGAGGGGGAGGGCGGGCGCCTGAGCGTCCTAAGCTCCTAAGATCCCCTAAGATCCTAAGCCCCCCCACCCGCTCATCCGCGTCTCGCGCCAGCCGCCGCCGCGCCCGTGAGGTGGTGCCCCCAGTGGCAAGAAGATCACGGGATGGGCCTCTCTCCGCTCCGAGGCCAAGAAGATGGTCGCAGAGCCCATTGCCCCCTCTAGCATGTTCCGCGACGCTGACGACGGCGGCGACGGCGGCGACGATGGCGCGGGGGCCCTCAACTCGGCGGAACGGTCTATAGCAGGCGTATTTGGCAACAAGGGTTTTGTCAAAGTCTTGAGTGACTTCCTGGCCAATAACAGTTTAGACTCCGATGTTGCCCACCTGCCCTGCTACGGCGCCCTGCTCTCCACGGCCGCGAGCGCTTTCGACGACCGCATGAAGGCCCTCCGGGACCCTAAGAACAAGGAGAAACTCTTGGTAATCAAAGTCACGACGCTGATGGAATTCATCGCCTCCGCACTCAACGCTGGCAACCCCGAGTCAGAGGCCCTGCAGGACAAGTGGTTGCTTTCGTGCAAGCTGGTTGCCAACGTGTGGGCCAATCCGCAGAAGTACATCGACTTCGCAGTCCCAGAGGCGCCGCCTGCTGCTGTCTGCCTGTCTGCCTGTCTGCTGTCAGTCTGTCAGTCTGTCAGTGGCAGTAGTGGCAGCGGTCTCTCCCAGGGCCCCAAGGCCCCCGGGGCCTTCCATCCAGCCAGGTCCGCGCCTCCACGCTGTCCACGCCCGCGCTCCCATCCTCCACCTCTCACCTCTCCACCTCTTCACCTCTCCACCTCCAGCACCTCAGCACCTCCAGCACCTCCGCACCTCCAGCCCTCCAACTCTCCTCAACGCCTCAACGCTTCCGCGCCCGCGCCTACACCCCCCTCGGCCTTCGCTCGTCCGTCCCCTTGTCGCCATCCCTTTCCCGCCTCTCATGCCTCTCACCTTCTCACTCACCCTCTCACCCCCCCATCGCCTCCCTCCCTCGCGCCTCCTCGCTCCCCCCCCGCTTCTCCGCCTCTCCGACTCCCCCTCGCATCCCCGCCACCCCCGGGGCACCCCCGCGCCTCGCGCCCCCCCCCCCACCCCCGCCATTCCGCCTTCGCTGGGGGCCGGGTGTAAATCGTGTGGTGCGCGGCGTTCAACGGCGCCCGCGTTGCCGCGCTGCCCGCGCTCGCGCGCAGCTCGATGCGAGGCCCCCCGCCCCCTCCGCCCCCCCGCCCCAACATTCCAACAGTCGCGTCACCGTGCGCAGGGGGACGATGATGAAATGATGAAGGCCATGCAGCCATGCACCCATGCACCTAGGATTTACGCAAGCACCGCGCACACCCTCGCACTCTCGCGCTTCTCTGCCTCTCCCGCCCTATCCCCCTACCCCCTGCCCGCCCCCCCGCCCCCGTCCTGCCCGTCCTGCCCCTCCTTCATCATCCTCTTATCCTCTCCTCCTCTCGACCTCTCCTCGCCTCTCCTCCAGGCTGTCAACGAGCTGTTCCAGGATGTGAGCTCTCTCGAGCAGTTCCTTGAGTGCCGGGGTCAGTGCGTGCTTACGCTCGCTAGTACTCCACTGGGCCGCGGTCTCGCGCGAGGCGCTGTCTGGACCATCGCCACCGACAAGGGCGTCGTGCAGCTCGCCAAGCCGATCGTCAATGCGCTCATGCGCATGCTGCAGGACGAGGCGGGTACCAAGTCGGGGCTGGTCTTCATGGACATCGAGTGCTCGAGCGTGGGTCTCGCTGCATGGACTAAATCGTGGAGCTACGCATTCGAGACGATGGCCGCCCGCATCATCGACGGCTCGTTCAAGAATCAGCAAGCTGGTGACCCCCACGTCGTCGACCAGATTGCCAGCACAGCCATGACGCTGCACGGCATCTCGAAGGCTGCCACTGATGCGCAGCAGCAGTTCGACGAGGACATTGCTGCGGCTGGCGCCGTCGGCGCTGACTCTACCACAGATGCCGACGCTGCTGCCATCCTGGCGATTGCACCACCGCCAGCCTCCGCCCCCAAAACGGTCACCTTGGGGACGCTGTCCGAGTTGATTTCGTTCCAATCATCGGCCATCTACGCCGATGACGATGCCTTGGTGGGAGAAGCGCTGCGCCAGCTGTTCACGGACGCCGACTACGACGTCCCAGTGTTCTTGGTGCCAGAGTCTGAGGTCACAGCCGCGTATGTGAACCAGATATGCAAGGCCGTTGAGTCCGAGCTGACGATCTTGGCATACCTCCCGCAAGACGACACGTTCGATTCGGTGCGGCTTGACGTCGAGAATCCGATTGGTACTGGCTCTGGCTCTGGCAAGAAGCTGGTGCCTTCCCTACTCACGACCAAGAAGCTCACGAACGCGTTCAAGATGTTTTTCACAGGTACGGTCAGCACGAAGCGTGGTGCCCAGTCCTTCCACATTGCGACCATCAGCGGCGTGCGAGGTGGTGGAGGTGGTGGGGGCGATGCCGGCGATGCCGACGAAGCTGCAGATGATGCGGCGGGCGCTATCGAGGCGGGCTCTGCGCCGACGGAGCAGGGCTCAGAGCTAGCCGCGCCCGCGGCACCTGGGGCGTTGCCAGCGACCGGCGCCGCCGAGGCCGCCGAGGGCGCCGAGGGCCTAGCGCTCGCGAGCGCCGTCCCGGGCGCTCCAATGCCCGCGGCTGCGGCTGCGCCTGCTTCCTCTGGCAACTCTGGCGGCGCTGCGGATGCCGCGGATGCCGCGAGCGCCGATGGCGCGGGCGCTGCGCATGCTGACGCGGCGGGCGCCGCAGGCGGCGGCGCGGCCGCGCCTGCGCGCGATGCTGCGGCTGCCAAGGCTGCCAAGGCTGCCAAGGGCATGGGCGGCATGGGCGCCAAGGTCGAGCTGGGGAACGCGGGGGGCGGTCAATCGACAGCTCCAGGGGCCGCTCGCGCAGTGGAGGCCCCGCCGTCCCACGAGTGGCCCGAGGAGCCCGACGAAGGCAAGATCCAGATCCCGATCTACCTCAACTACAATGAAGCCATCCACGGGTTCCACGCCGAGTGCCCAGTGCCCGCCTGGCTCATTAGGCATCGGCCCTCGCCGAAGCCGAAGGCCAAGCCAGCGGTCAAGGCCAAAGCCAAGGCCAAGACCAAAGCTGCCGCTGCCCCTGCTGCCCCTGCCGCCCCTGACGACGAACCTGAGCCCGCTGTTCCTGCGGCTCGCGCGACCGTCAAGGTCGAGATGCAGTCGATCACGTTCAATCTGCCGCCCTACTTGGAGATCCACATGGACGGCGGCGCCTCCGTTGTTGACAAGATGATCGTGTGCAGCCCCGTGATCGTGCCGACTGAGGCAGGTCGTGATGCGACCCCCCCTTTCGAGCTGATGCGGGACCCTGGAATCGGCGAGATGGCGCCCAAGAAGGCCCCTGCAGCGGCCCGGGAGCCCGCGCCCACGGGAGGCGCTTCGCTTTTCAGCGGTTCGACCATGCTGGCCGAGAAGGGCCCGCGCGCGCAGTGCGATCCAGGCAGCGGCGAAGCCGCGCCTGTCGCCCCGCCACCTGCTGCTGATAAGCGCGGGCTCCCTGCCAAGGGCACTTACGGCCACCTCCTCAAGTAGCTCAAGTGCTCACGTAGGTTCCCCCGCCCCCCCCCCCCCTCGCCCTCAACTCGTCAACTCGTCCACTCGTCCACTCGCCATTTTGTTGCTCTATTGCTCTAATGCTTGATTGCTGTTCCTCCCCTCCTCCTCTCCTCCTCTCCTCCTCCCTCCGCCCCCCCGCCCCCACTGGCTCTTCCCGTTCGACTCGTTGACTCCCGCTCCTGCCTGCTGCCCATCCTCGCCCCTCCTTCGCCCTCTCGCCCTCGTCCCTCATCCGCTCATCCCTGCGCCTCGTCCTCCTCGCATCTTCCCCTCCTCCTCATCCTCCTCGTCTCCTCGTCATCTCATCTTATCTCCTCATCTCCTCGCCGTCTCGCTTGCCCGCCAGCGGCCGGCCGCCCGCCTGGCTTCCGCGTGCAGCCGCGGGCCCGCCCAGCCGCCGCGACCGCCTCGAGCGCCTCGAGGCCGGCCTCGAGGGCGGATCGCGGAGCCGTGGAGGTGGTGGTGGTGAGGTGGTGAGGTGGTGAGGCGGCGAGGTGGCGTGGAGCGGCGGGCAGTAGCGGCAGCGGCGGGTGGCGCGGGGCGAGGGGGCGGGGGCGGGGCGGCGGGGAGGTGGAGCAGTGGAGCAGTGGAGCAGCGGAGCGGTGGGCCGGTAGACAGGTAGAGGGGTAGAGGGGTAGATGGGGTGGAGGGATTGGGGGAGTGGGGAGCGGGGGGGTGGCGAGGGAGCGGAGGGAGGAGGGAGTGGAGGAGTGGAGGAGTGGAGGGATGGAAGGATGGAGGGATGGGGAGAGGGCGAGAGGGGAGGTGGAAATAATATCAATCGACGTTGGGATGGCGGAATGACGGGATGACGGGTCGGGGCGACTTGGTGACTGGGTGTCTGGGGTGAATGAATTGGAATTGGGCGAGCTGGGCGCGAGCTGTCTGCGGCGCCGCGGCGCGGCTCAGTGCGCTGCCCTTACTGGCCTGTATGCCTGTATAGTTTCTTTTCCTCTCTCTCTCTAGCTCTATCTATCTATCTATCTATCTATCTATATATCTATATATCTTTCTCTCTTTCCATTTTTTCCAGCCCTCTCTCTCTCTTCTCTCTTTCTCTCTCTCTCTCTCTCTCTCTCTCTCTCTCTTCTCTCTCTCTCTCTCTCTCATTGTTCTTTCTCTCTCTCTCTCTCTTTTCCTCTTTCTTTGTCTGTCTCTCTCTCTCTCTCTCTCTCTCTCTCTCTCTCTCTTCTCTCTCCTCTCTCCCTCTCTTTCTCTCGTATATGTGTCTCCAGCTCTCTACCTCTCTCTCTCTCTATCTCCTCTCTTTCTCTCTCTCTCTCTCTCTCTCTCTCTCTCTCTCTCTCTCTCTCTCTCTTTTTCTCTGCGTGAGTCTGTCTGTCTCCCTGTCTCCCTCTCTCATGGTCTCTTTCTCGGTTTTCGTTTTTTGGTTCCCCCATCGGTCCCCCTCTCCCCCTCTCTCTCTCTCTCTCGCCCCCCCCCCCCCCCCCCCCCCCCCTCCCACCCCTCTCACCTCTCACCCTCTCAGCCCCCTCTCTCCTCCCCTCCCCGGCCTCTCCCATGTTTTTTTATGCGTGTTTATGTGCATAGAGATCCCTGCATTTCTTCATGTATCTATGCATCCCTCTCTCCTCTCTCCCTCTCTCCCTCTCTTCCCCTTTACTTGTTTGCTGTCCCTATATCGCACTCCTTTTCTCCCGCTAAGTCTCGCCCTCTCTCCCTCTCTCCCTCTCCAATTTGTTTCGATCTCTCTCTCTCTCTCTCTCTCTCTCTCTCTCCCTCCCCGCCCTCCCGCCCTCTATATGCATATATATATATATATACACACACGACATAGATATCGTTATTTGTTATTGTTTGCCTCTCTCTCTTCTCTCTCTCTCTCTCTCTCTCTCTCTCTCTCTCTCTCTCTCTCTCTCTCTCTCTTTCTGTTTCCCCATATGTATATGTCTCCTTCTCCTCCTTCTCCTTCTCCCCCTCTTCCCCCCCCATCTCCCCTCTTCCCCCCTCGCCCTTTTGCGCTTTTGCGCGGCTTGCCCCTCTGTGCACTTTCGTTTTTTTTGCCCGCGAGCCTCGAGCCTGCGAACCTCGCGATGCCGCAGAGGCGCGCGTGAGACAGATGATGGCCGTCATCCCGCGGGGACGTGGGGACCTGGGTGCTTGGGTGACTGTAGCAGTATCGTCGTATGTTATGGTTGCATGTATGCATGTATGCATGTATGCATGTATATATATGTATATATATACATATGGCCATACGGCCATGGCCCCACGGTGGTCTTATGACCTTATGACCTTATGACCTTATGACCTATGATCCTATGTGGTCAATGGTCAATGGTGAGTTGGTGAGTTGGTGAGTCATGGAATCATGGTGCCATGGTGATGATGTGATGATGAGGATGATGAGGGGATGAGGGGGGCGAGGGGGCGAGGGGGGCGAGGATAACGACTGGAACGACTGGGAGCTGGGATGAGCTCTTGCCTCTCTGTCAGCTAGCCATGCCCGCCTAGTGTCACGAGCTTCGTTTTTTTACGCTCCAGCCGCTCCGGCCATCTCTTCGCAGTTCCATTTCACCAACCAACCCGCTCAACTCATTTCCTCATCCTCCTCATTTCCTCATCTCCCTCATCTCCTCATCTCCCTTTATCCCTTTATCTCCTTATCTCCTTATCTCCTTATCTCCTCATCTCTTATCCTCATGTCTTCATATCCTCATATCCTCATCTCCTCATCTCCTCCATCCTCCTCCTCCTCCTCCTCTCCTCCTCTCCTCCTCTCCTCCTCCTCTCCTCCTCTCCCTCATCTCCTCATCTCCTCATCTCCTCATCTCCCTCATTTCCTCATTTCCTCATTTCCTCATGTCCTCATCTCCTCATTTCTTCATCTCCTATTCCTTCGCCGCCCTGCCCGGCCGCCTGCCATTGCCGCTGCCCCATCGCCGCTGCCGCGCCGCCGGCGCCGCGGCGGCCAAGGGGCTACAGGGCTACAGGGCTCGACAAAAAAACGCCATATCACATCATCACACCATCACACCATATTATCACACTACCACACTACCACACGGAACAATGCCTATCACACCATCACACCACCATATTATCACACTACCACGCGGACATACATTAGGGAACCACGAGGAGACGAGGAGTCAATTGCGTGTCATGAGTCCTGCGAACGGAGATGCGTAACGGATGAAATGGAGGTCGGGCGGAGAGGATGGAGCGGATAAGGCGGAGGTCTGAGGTCTGTGTGTGTGTGCGTGTGTGTGTGTGTGTGTTTGTGTGTGTGTGGCACGCCTGTGCGCCCCCATGCGCTCCCCGCTGCCCCCTTCTCCCGAGGCCGTCCACTCTCTGGCTGCTCCCTCGCTCGCCCCCTCTCGGCCCGCTGCCCCCCCGAGGACAACGGGGGGACAGCGAGGTTCGTAAAGGGTACAATCTCATACGAGGAAGAGGCGGGTCGAGCCCGATTCCGCCAACCCTCCCGTTCTGGCATCTGGAACTCCCCAGCCGCCAGGGGGCTCCAGCGCCGATCCAAGAGATCCGCGCAGACCTTCGAGTTGTTATGTTTATTTCATTGTCTCTCCCCCTATTTTACAGCCGTCCTGCGCTCGAGGCGGGCGCTGCAGGCTCCTTCAGGGCTTGACGACTTTTCGTGCATCGACTTGTGGGGATCAAGCCGAGCACATGAAGGTAAATGCATTAGAGTGAAGGTAACCCAGGGGGAAATCCAGGAAAGCCCAGGTCAATCCAGGGATCACCAACGAAATTTGACACACATACACGCACCGTTCGACTACACGTAAAAGTGAGCCTTCGCTGGAGGAACCATCAGTGCGGGCTCACCGGGTTCCCCCGATCGCCGAACGCAAGCCGGCAGCGGCGTCTTGCGCGCTTGTGTTTGGCCCCCCACCCCCAGCGGCCGGGAATTAGACCGATTACAACCACTTCGGACTGTTCAGGAACTACTTCGGTCGGATTGCAACCACTGGAAACGGACTGATCGCAACCTAAAGGATTCCTATACAGACTTTTCTGAAGAACACCGGGTTGCAACCGATCCAAGAGCTTCTGCTGAGCTTCTGCAGAGCTCTCTGAGAGGCCTCTGAGAGGCCTCTCATAGGCTGATCTGAAGCCTCTTTTTTAAAGAGGCTTCTCTGAAGCCTTGCAGAGGCTTTTTCTGAAGCCTTGCAGAGGCTTCTCTGAAGCCTTTCAGAGGCTTATCTGAAGCCTTTCAGAGGCTTATCTGCAGCCTTTCAGAGGCTTCTCTGAAGCCTTTCAGAGGCTTCTGTGAAGCCTTTGCAGAGGCTTCTCTGAAGTCTTTCAGAGGCTTCTCTGAAGCCTTTTTCAGAAGCTTCTCCGAGGCTTCTCTGAAGCCTTCCAGAGGCTTCTCTGAAGCCTTTTTTCCAGAAGCTTCTCTGAAGCCTTTCAGAGGGTTCTCTGAAACCTTTTCAGCGCCGCTGCCTTTAGTGGGCGTGCGCTGCTGCCTCTAGCGCTACGTCCGACATCCGGGAGGAGGGCTGAAGACGAAGATGAAGGCGAAGATGTTGATGATGATGGTTGTGGCGATGTGGCGGTGATGACGTGGTGGCGACAATGTTAATGATGATAGTGTTGATGGTGAGGAGGAGAGGGGAGGGAGGAGGAAGGAGGAGGAGAGGGGAGGGAGGAGGGAGGAGGGAGAGTGGCGGGGGAGGAAGAAGGAGGGAGGACGACAAGGAGGGCGGAGGAAGGAGGAATGATGGTGAGGAGGAGGAGGAGGAGGAGGAGGAGGAGGGCGAGGCAGAGGAGGAGGGAGGAAGGAGGAGGAGGAGGAGGGCGAGGCAGAGGAGGAGGGAGGAAGGAGGAGGATGAGGATGAGGATGAGGAAGGGGCCGTGATGACGAGTTCTCAGGGCCTCCCAATCGACGGAATGCCCCGCGAAGAGGCTCCGTACGTGCTGTTACCATTCGTCCAACGGCTCCTCGTCCACCCCTCCCTCCAAGAAGTCTTTTCATCCTGAGATGTGTTTGTAC